TTCTTTCATGTATTTTACAAGAACATTGTCTAGTAAAAGCTTTCCCACAATGTTTACATACATAGGGTTTCTCCCCAGTGTGAATTCTTTCATGTCTTTTACAATTTCTTTGTATGCGAAAAGCCTTCCCACACTGTTTACATACATATGGTTTCTCCCCAGTGTGAATCCTTTCATGGGTGTTACAATGCTCTTGTGTACTAAAAGCTTTTCCACATTGCTTACATACATAGGGTTTCTCCCCAGTATGAAGCCTTTCGTGTGCTTTACATGAACCTTGTGTGCTAAAAGCTTTCCCACATTGCTTACATACATAGGGTTTCTCCCCAGTGTGAAGTCTTTCATGTGCTTTACATGAACCTTGTGTTGTAAAAGCTTTCCCACACTGTTTACATACATAGGGTTTCTCCCCAGTGTGAAGCTTTTCATGTTTCTTACAATAGCCTTGTGTTCTAAAAGCTTTCCCACACTGTTTACATATATAGGGTTTCTCAACAGTGTGAATCCTTTCATGTGTTTTACAATTCGAATGTGTACTAAAAGCTTTCCCACACTGCTTACATACATAGGGTTTCTCCCCAGTGTGACTTCTTTCATGTGTTTTACAATAACTTTGTGTACTAAAAGCTTTCCCACATTGCTTACATGCATAAGGTTTCTCCCCAGTATGACTTCTTTCATGGATCTGAACATTGTAGGGTGTACTAGAGACTTTCAAATTTTCCTTATATACAAAGATCTCTTTAAACTGAGTTCTTTCATTTAGTTCAGAGTAAGATTTTTCACACTGATCATATTCATAGGATTTTTCTCCTGTCTTTGTCCTTGTATCCTTCTGAAAAGAGGGAAAATTATTGCAGGTCTGTTGATGTTCATTACATTTATACAGCTCCTCTTCTAATCCCAAAAACTCGTATGTCATCATTCCAGAGTGAGATATGGTGGGCATATTTACTGGGTAGCATTTCTCCACCTCTTTATTTCTATTAAAATAAAACAAAACAAAACAAAAGCTGAACAAACAAAAACACCAGTCACAACCGTAAACGTATCTCCATATTAATGATTTACCACAAGTTCTGGTATGATTCCTAAGGAATTCAGACAATTAGCTGAATGCCCTACAGGATACCTCAGAAACAGCTATTCCCACGATGGTATTAATTTGTAAACTTTTAAATTGGTGTATTTTGCAACCCAGATGGCCAGTTTCATTTTGGACAATTAATATACATGTATATCACAAACTGATCATTTTGCTACCTTTTCCAACATTGTTGTCCCTCTTCTCTCATTATTTGTCTTTCTCATCTCCAAAGAGCCAGGATTAGGGTGGGGGAGATGGCTTAGTAGAATAAGTGCTTGCCTGGCAAGCACAAGGGCCTGAGTTCAATCCCTGGTTATACACACACACACACACACACACACACACACACACACAAAAGCAAGCCAGGATTTCCTTTTTTAATTGCCTCTTTATTTTATTCCCTAATTTATATTTTTGGTTTCTCATATAAGAGAAAGCATGTGGGCTTTCACATTCTGTGTCTGAGTTACTTCACATTTATGATGAAGACCCACCCATTTCTTTGGGCAAATGACATTATTATAATTCATTTTTGTACATAACTAGATAGCACTTTTTTTTCTTTCTTCTTTCAGTGACAGGGATGTGTACTGAATTATATCACCCAAGTTTTATTTATTTTAGGAGAGATTCTCTTTGATGTTAAAGTTGCTTATGCTGACTTTCAATCTGCCATCCTGCTAAATCAGCTTAGGAGTGTGCAGGGACTGTACCACCATGTCAAGCCTATCAAAATTTTTCTGTATCTACTCATCCAATAATGGACACCTACCCTGATTACATAGCTTAGCTGTTATAAATTGTCCTGCTTTGTGTATTCATGTGCTCTGTCAGCATAATATAAAAAATTTAACTTTTTGGAGACTGTACTCAGCAGAGGTATTCTTGGATCAAATGGAAATTCTATATTTATTTTTGTGAAGTCTTTATACTGATTATGATACTGGATACACAACATTGCTATGAAAAATGTCAGAGAATTTTAAAATATGAATGGGCTCAATTCTCTGTGTATGATAGCACTAGCATTCTTCTGTACTTTCAATACTGCTTCAAGGTTTCTAATATTTCAGATACTCAATTTTTATATAGATAATAATTACATGTACATAAGTAGACATCCTGAAGTGTTTCTGTCAAAACTCAAAATTTACTGCTTTTCATATGTGTCTATACAAAGTACCTAAATGAAATTTCATACACTTTCATGGTGGTAATCATGAAAGAAGTTTTTTACCTATATGTCAGACACTGTCACTTGTTACATGGTATCAGTATATTTCAGTATGTTTTAGACATTGGAGCATTTCTGTGTTCAGTTTTCAACTATATACATTGTTGGAGAATATTCATGGTATTAAATAAATTTGAACATGGCCACGTTTCACTGGTTCTCATATTTGTGTTTACACATTCACTTTGAGGAACAGTTCTTTTCTGAATGCAAATTACCTTTGATTTCTCCAGTCATTTTTGTACTGTTCTTCATCTTCTTGGTTATCCCAGGCCCTACCTGCATTGCAGACACAGAAATATAAAGGGACACAATATTACTGCATAAAAATGAATACATTCCAGGGCTGGTGAGATGGCTCAGTGGTCTAAAGCACCTATTTAGAACAAGCTAAGCTAAGCAAAACACAGGGACCGCAGTTCAATCCCCCAGCACCACA